CATGTGTTTGGCGAGCAGCGCACAAATGTGGCCAGTAAACCAGTAGTAAACCGGTTCAGATTTCACCACTGCTATGAATAGTCTCTAAAGGAGGACTAGTTGTATTTTCAATAGGAACTGTTTCCAGATGCATTTTCTATTTGTAACTTCTACCAGCCCTGGCAAGGAGGCCTAAGGCTGAAGGCATCCAGACAAGATTGTTATTTTCTTAAAAGAAAGTAACTCTGGTAGGTCTGAAATTTCCAAAACATTAGTTGAATTAACTCGGAAACGATCTGAATTCATTTTATAAAACAACATAAAATCAAAAGCAGAGTTCTAGTTATAATCCGAGGTCCTGGAAAAACCCCCCACCCCCACCCCCACCCCGTTATAATCTTATTCAGCCTGTTCCCATGTAAATGAGAATTCATTTTGTAGAATAGCCAAGTGGTAAAAGAAAATGGCCAGGGATTTTAATGAAACTAGAATTCGCAATCTTCCAAATTAGACACCGCTGTAGAATGGATAGGTAGTAATGTTTTCTGATAGCTCTTGTTTTCTACTTAAACGTCACGCAAAAAGTAGTTAATGTCGCCATACTGGGTATTACAGAACAATATGACTTTATTACAATTAAGAGTGGAAACAGAGCTGGAAATTCTTCTTGCAATCCAATTTTAGCCTGAGCAGGAGAAGAATTCTGGGGCACAGAAAGCTCCCTTTGAGATGAAATGTGATACACTTAACGGAATGTGGCTTTGGAGAATTGTATGGCTATATCTAGGCAGGGCCCAAGATGAAGTAGGTTCGGCAGAAAAGCTAGGTTCAAACCATCGGCAATATCCACCCTGGCAGCTGCTGCAACCCCCATATTGTTCAGAGTAGGCAATTGCACATGAATAGTGCATTAAAACTTATGAGATTGATCATTCCTAACTGTGCATAAGAGCCCCAGCAAGGCAGGGAAGGTGCTGCTTGCTTCCTTTCAGGCATAGGGAGAACTGATGTATGGAACAGAGAAAAAAGACCATGAAGAAATTGTTTCTTGAAAGCTGGCCAGGAAAGGATTAGCATCTGCACAGCTTTCAAAAAAAGCTTCCATTGAGGAACAAGGAGATTTTTGATGCGGGGGGCCTGCAGGCCTGGTGCACGGTTGAAAGTAGCCGGAGATGGCAAAAAGGACATTTTAATGAATTTCTTTTTTTTTTTTTTACAATATTTAGAGCCCTCCACCATCCATTACTGACTTTCCTCAAGAAACTGAGCTGCTTTCCAAAGTAGGATTATTTTACACATTCAAATCTCATTTTATTTATTTTTTTTATTTCTCAAGTTTATATGGCCACCTGTCTCACAAATACGTGAATCTGGGTGGTATACAACAGAGCTAAAAACTAGATAGAGTAGATGATAGATAGATAGATAGATAGATAGATAGATAGATAGATAGATAGATAGAGATAGATAGATAGATAGATGATAGATAGATAGATAGATAGATAGATAGATAGGCAGATGGAGAGACATAGACAGACAGTCATCTTTTCCTTCAAAAGAGAGAGAGGGGTGGGTGGATGGATGGATGGATAGATAGATGGATGGATGGATGGATGGATGGATGGATGGATGGATGGATGATAGATAGATAGATAGATAGATAGATAGATAGATAGATAGATAATTTCTTTTTTCCTTCACATTGGATGAATGGATGGATGGATGGACAGATGGATGGATGGATGGAGAGAGAGAGAGAAAGAGACAAAGATAAAACTTCAATTTGCTTGGTACAAAGTGGCTATCTCCATGTCAGTGTTGAGATATGGGAAGAATTGGAATCAAACTTCAGAAATAAAGAGCAATTATTTTTATTGGCCTGGGACCATAAATAAATAAATGTAAGTGTAATTTGGAAGTCAGGTTATTAAACTACGGTTCAGTGTCCCTAATTTAACTGTAATCCGCTCAGTCTTCTAGTAATAGGAAAAACAGTCTTAGTAATTATACTGATCATACTGGCAACACAATAAGGTTGGGAAGGGTAATCTCTTGCAATGCTCTTAAGGAATGTCATCTTCAGGGTCTGTGGGGACAAGACTTCTCAGTCATGCAGCCCTTTCTCTGGAGCACCATTTCCCTCCCCCCAAATTAGACCTCTACCCCACTGGTTGATGACTACTGGCTTTTCAACAATAATCAACAACCACTTCTATTTGCAATTAAGGCTAGGATGGGGTGGAGATAATTCTACTGACAGTTCTTCCTATAGGAAAGCCAAGTGGGTGACCTTTCCTCACCAAGGTTTTCACAGATGGAAAGGCTGGGACCTGACTCAGAGCAGATGGAAGGAAACTGGAAATGTTGAGTTCTCCTGAACCTGCACTTCTTCCATTTCCAGATTTGGTCCCTAAAGAAGAGAGATATGTGCAATATTTTTTTTATCAGCTTAAGAGAAGAGTAGAACCTCAGTCTCCTCATTCGTGCCTTCACCACTAAATCACTCTGGACCTTGGGTTGAGAGAAAGGAACTCACCCAAACTCTTTCAGGGAGCTTGTGACTGAAGATGGATTGAACATGTTGTGGTCTGCCAGCAGCCTGTGGACCTGACAGTGGAGTCAGACAGTGAGGAGGCTGGGGAGGACCATGGGCAGCCCTGGAGTCTGGGGAAGGCCTGAATGAGGGCTCTGCATTGGAGGCAGAGATGGGGTCAGAGCCATCTGGGAGTGATGCGCAGACTGCGGAACCTCCAGAGTTGGATATCAGAAAGGCAGAGGAACAGGAGGAACATGCACAGAGCTGCCAAAAGGCAAGAGCAGCTATAGCAAAAAGGATGACTTGGGAGTAAGACCAGGAGATGATTGGCCCCTCCCATAAGGCTTAAAAGAGAAACAAATGCACTTGGGGCCTTTTGCAGGAAAGCAACGTTGCTAACTCTGTTTCCAGTCGGCATCTCTTGTTTGTTTCTGAACTTCGTGGGGCTTTGCCAAGTAAGTAAGGCCTTTGGCAGGATGTCAAAGAAGATAAAGGTTGGTGATTATCCCGAAGGACTTCTTCCGAAAGACTTGTTTTGCAACTAATTGGGACTCGGCTGGGAATGAACGTAATTCTCAGCTGTTACAATAAAATAGGTTTGTTTGGTACTAATTATGTCTTGTAAGGACTCAGTAAGCCTTGGTTACAACAGAACATGGGATCTTCATCACTACATCATGCTCTCTGTTTCTCTCTTTTCACAACAGAAACATGGGGTGAAAACACCTTGGAAGCCATGGGGACCAAACAGAAAGAATGTAGAAAGTTGTATGAGGCCATCTCCTTCTTCCAGAGCCCTTCTAGGATTCTGTCTCTATTTCAGAAGCCAGGATGGATTTGGAAGGGTTAACATCCTCTGTGCCCAGTTGACCAGAGACAATTAGAAGGCTCATCTCCCTCCTTAGATGTTCACAAGACAGAGCAGCAAAGCTTCTGTATAGGCAGAGATGGAAGGACCCACATACACTCGCACAATATAAGAATGGAGGGTGAAATTAATGGAATTGGCAGAGATGTCAGAATTGACTGCTTTGATTAAAGAAAAGACTTTGTTTAGCTTCGTTTGTACTTGGAAACCACTCTTGGATTTATTTTTTTTCCCCTTGAAGCTGAAATCAATGAAAATTTAACTTTAGGTCTTGATGATTAGACTTGTTTGTGATGATAGAAGTACTCTTTGTTCTAGTTTATTCTAGTTCAAAGTGTCATTGATTTTTAAGGTTTTATCTAGAAAGTCGGGAATTATTTTTTCTATAGTTTTTTTTTCCCTTTTAGTTTCAGCTCTGCAATTTTGCACTTTCTCCACCCTCCCCTCTTTCTTTTTAATTTTTTACTTTGTGTTTTGTATTTTATACTTTTCTGAAATATAGATATTCACAAAAAATGCTGGGTAGTTCATTCTGTCATGCAGATGGAAGCAGAAAGTCAGGTGCATAGAAGGTACATCTGAGATGGGCCCATGTTTCTATTGCCATATGGACAAGCAAATAGCTGGAATGAGAAAGACCAGGGGTGACATGATAGCAGTGTTCCAACAAAGAGGGGGTCAACCTATTCTCCAAAACACCTGAAGGCAGAACAAGAAGTAATGGATGAAAACTAATCAAGGAGAGAACCAACCTAGAACTAAATTTCCTGACAGTGAGAACAATTAACCAGTGGAATGACTTGCCTTCAGAAGTTGTGGGTCCTCCATCAATGGAGGTCTTTAAGAAGAGATCGGACAACCATTTAATAATAAGAGAGTTATAAGGGACCTTGGAGATCTTCTAGTCCAACCCCCTGCTCAGGCAGGAAATGTTATACCATTTCAGACAAATAGTTGTCCTATCTCTTCTTTAGAACTTTCGGTGTTGGAGCATTCACAACATCTGGAGGTTAATCTAAAATAGTGTAAGGTCTCCTGCTATAGTGGGGGGGGGGGTTGAACTAGACCTCCAAGATCCCTTCCAACTCTATTATTCTGTTATCCTGTTCAATAAGAAGGACATATCCTTGCTTGGAGATCTTTTTTAAGCTACCGGATAATATCAACTCTCTTTTCAAAGGCACTACTACTTGATTTGGGGACCTGGATAACTGTAGAACCACCTTCTGTCAGTGGCTTCTGTCCACCCAGTAAGATTGAGAAGGACGGTCTGTTTCCATTCTTTTTCAGGGACTGTGGTGAAAAGCCTTCTCAGTCATCCACCCCCTTTTCTCGGGCAGATCCTCCCCCAAAATTAGATTGAAAACCCTTCCCCAACTTGGAAGCAGACTTGTTCAGAGGAGAACTCTCCTGATATTGATTTGTGTATGCTGATGGTTGCTGCTCAGGCATTGGGGCTGTTGTTTCTTTTTGTTGTATTGATTATTATTTTAATTTTCTTATATCGAATAATGTAGAGTCCTGTCTGAATGGAACAGCATAGAAGCTGCAGTACATGAATAAACAAAATTAATATGACAACTGGAGGTTCCATTAAATCTTCCTTATATAGCTCACCTTTTCTCCTTGATCTCCTTTCATAGTAACCTTCCCAGAGGCTCTCACCTCCTAGGAAAAGAAGAGAGAAATAACAATATTACAGGCTAAAAGTCATAAAATCATTCTTTGCGATAGCTTCTGGCAGTTTCTCTTCCAGAGAAAATAGCAAGTATTCAACGAAATTAGTTTAACCTAATGAGTTTAACCATTTCAGCCCCAGAAGGAGCAAAGGAGAAATTGGAAGCTTTTTTGAAGAAGAATTTGGGTCTCATGTATCCAGGTCAAGAAACAGAACAGCAAACATCAGCTAAACCAGCAATTAAGCAGACTGAATAATGTGGTTTGGCATAGAGATAGATAGATAGATAGATAGATAGATAGATAGATAGATAGATAGAATAGATAGATAGTAGGTAGATAAGTAGATAAATAGATAGATAGATGGATGCATGGATGGATGGATGGATGATGATAGGATAGATAGATAGATAGATAGATAGATAGATAGATAGATAGATAGATAGATGGATGGATGGATGGATGGATGGATGGATGGATGGATGGATGGATGGATGGATGGATGGATGATGGATGGATGATAGAATAGATAGATAGATAGATAGATAGATAGATAGATAGATAGATAGATAGTAGGTAGGTAAGTAGATAAATAGATAGATAGATGGATGCATGGATGGATGGATGGATGGATGGATGATAGATAGATAGATAGATAGATATATAGATAGATAGATAGATAGATAGATAGATAGATGGATGGATGGATGGATGGATGGATGGATGGATGGATGGATGGATGGATGGATGGATGATAGATTAGATAGATAGATAGATAGATAGATAGATAGATAGATAGATAGATAGATAGATGGATGGATGGATGGATGATAGATTAGATAGATAGATAGATAGATAGATAGATAGATAGATAGATAGATAGATAGATAGATAGATAGTAGGTAGGTAGATAAATAGATAGATGGATGCATGGATGGATGGATGGATGATAGGATAGATAGATAGATAGATAGATAGATAGATAGATAGATAGATAGATGATGGATGGATGGATGGATGGATGGAGAGAGAAAAGAAATGAAATGGATGGAGAGAGAGAAATGGATGGATGGATGGTCGGACAGACAGACAGACAGACAGATTTCTTTTTTCCTTCACATGATTAGATAGATGGATAGATGGATCCAATTCAGACAAGTTAGAACAATATGAAACCAAAGAGTTTCTCTGAATTTAGTAGTTGGAATTTTTTCCCCTCAAGGTGCAAGTTGGTAGGTCCTCAGGAGTGTGTCAAAACATCAACATGGTTGTCACAGCCACAAATCAAGGCCCCACCTACAATAAACATAAAAAGTGGGTGGAGCTTCAATTATATGGCTGTGGCTGCAGTATTGACTTTTTTTTAACCCCCCTGGGTTCTCTGGCATATGTCACAGCAGATGGCAGGTTAATTGCCAGCTGATCTTTGTTGAACTTGAAAAAGTAAACATCTCCTTTGGTTTTTGCAGAACATGCCTGTTGAGTCATGCACAGACTTTCCATTAGGTACAACAGTTTCCTGCCTTATTTTGTCTTCGCAGTAATCTTTCGCTTGCTTGTTTGTTTCTCTTTTTCTTTATCTGAGAAAGAAACTTGGACAAGATGTTTTAACAATGTTAATGTTCTGTGCTGACGCACAATTATTTTTGTATTCGTTGTAGTAACATTGTTCTTGTCAGTTTAAGAAACAAATATAATGATATTTCTCTCTCTCGTTCTCTCTCTCTCTCTGAAACCTAAGCTTTAGTCCCTTCCTTTCAATATGCAAGACTGCTCATTTTTAGGAATTTTCAGATCTGTAAGTTGCAAATTATTTTAGTGTGTGTGATGTTGTCACAGTACCCTGCCAAAAGCAACATATTTGATCAAACACATTGGACCGAAACAAAAACACTTTGAGTGGCCCTTTGGATTCCTTACACTCTCTTTTGTTGGTTTTGAGAAAGCTCGGCAAATCAAATCAAGTTATTTCTTGGATGGGACACCATGAAGGAATCTCAGGGCTGCAGTGTAGACCAGGATGTCTAGCCTTCAAAAAGGGACAAAAAGAGAGTGGAGAGGGAGAGAAGAGAGGAAGGAGAGAGAGGGAAAGAAGAAAGGGAAAAGGAGAGGAAGAAAGAGAGAGGAAACAAGAATAGGAGAGAAGGTTAGAAGGGAGGAAGAAGGGAGGTGTGGGGGAAAGGAAGGGGAAGGAGAGAAGGAGAAAGAGAAGAGGAAAGAAGAAAGTAGAAGAACAGGTGGAAGAAAGGAGGGAAAGGAAAGAGAGGAGAGGGAGAAGAAGGATTGTTGTAAAACAAGGGAGATGAAATGGTAGAAGGGCAACCCCAAATATAATTAAATTGTTTAGGATGAAGATTGTATTAGTATGAAAGTTAAAAGAAAATATGTATGTTAGATAAGAAAACGTACATTTAAGATATGTTTATGAGAAAAAAATAAAAATAAAAAACCTTTTTTTAAAAAAAGAGAGACAACACTTTCCTAATCTTGCAAACAAACAAACAAACAAACAAACAAACAAACAAACAAACAAACAAACAAGCAACTGTGAATATATTTTAAAGTTTTAGGATGAAGAATGAACCAATATGGAAATCAAAGATAATATGTGTGATAAGAGTAGTTAAAGAGATTGTACATTTATAAATGTTTTATGAACAACAAGGGAGTGGAAAAGGGGAGAGGAGTAGAGAGGGGGAAGTAGGGGAGTAGGGAGGTGAGAAGAGAAGAAAAGAAGAATGGGAAAAGGAGGAGAAGAAAGAAGGGGAAGAGTAGGAGAGAGGGTAAGAAAGGGAGGAAGAAGAGAGGAGAGGGGAAAGAGGAGAGGAAGTAGAAAAGGGAAGGAGAGGAGGAATGAGGAAAGTAGAAAGAGACAGAAGAGGAGAGAGAAGGGAAGAGGAAAAAGAAAGGTTGTGTTAAAACAAAGGAAGGAAATGGTAAAAGAGCAGACCTGAACAACCAATTAGCAAATGGAAGTTAAAGAATAAGACAAATGAATAATGATTAATGATGGATAAAAGACTGTACATTTAAATATGTTGATGAAAAATAAAAATAAAAAACTTTTATAAAAAAAAGAAAAAAGTGACTTTCCACCAATCTTCATACTTACAACAGTTACAAAGTCCCATGGTCCCATGATGAAAATTCAGGCACTAGGCAACTGGCATGGACTTACAGTGGTTGCAGCATCCTGGGGTCATGGGATTGTGTACAATATATTGAAATACGCATCTGATATAGAGGTAGTTCTCGACTTAAAACCATTTGTTTAGCAACCATTCAAAATTATAATGGCATTTAAAAAGTGACCTTATAACTGGTCATATCACTACTCTTGCAGCATCCCCATGGTCATGTAACCCAAATTCAGGCACTTGGAAGCCAGTTTGTATTTACAATATTTGCAGTGCCCCTGGGCCACGTGATTGCTATTTGTGACTTTCCCAGCTGGCTTCCATCAAGCAAAGTCAATGGGACCAAGGAACACGGTGACTCATATGGTTAGGACACTGGATTGATAAGAAGCAAGCCTGTGTTTGAGACCCAGGTGCTGATATAGGATGGAGTGAACTCCTGTCCTTTGCTCCAGCTCCTGGCGGGAATATGAAAGGAGACCCCAACTGAGTGTCTCCCAGGCAATGGTGATGCAACCAGCTAATCCTTTCAACCTCAGTGTTTCTGACACAAGTGGGATGCAAGTCAACGGGGGAAGACAGATTCATTTGACAACTCCATGCTGCAGGAAAAGCAATCATAAAAGTGGATGCAGCTCAAGGGGAAATTCTGGCCTCGATTATGGTCGTAATTCGAGAACTACCTGTGCTTGGAGGGTAATTTGCTTAGCTGCCCTTCAAAATGTCACATATCACCTCACAAAGTACCTTAGCATCCTTTAGAAACCTGCATGCGCACAGCAGTACTTACAATTAAAAAAGAGCTTAGAATGAAAAAGTTTGTGCTAAAGAAACTTACATCAGGGAAATTTACCAATCTGGAAATGGAACGGAAACAGGATAATTTGCATTAAAATACCTGTTTCTCAGTGATTCATGTTCACAATTACATAAAACAGGAAAAGATACATACAAGTCTCCATATGTTTGAAGACAGTATGCGTAGGAATATTTGGAATATTTTTCCTGGTTTTTTTTTTTAAAAAAAGTTTTAAAAATACACTAGAAGACTGAACTTGCATGTCTCAGGCTGAGCTTAATGAGATTACTGAGAAATCTAAATACTTCAGTGTTTCTCAGTCTTAGAACTTTAAGATGGATAGACTCCAACTCCCAGAATCCCTGGGGAATTTTGGGAGTAGAAGTCAACCCATTTCAAAATTGCCAAAGCTGAGAAACACTTATGTTGAGAGTTGCAACTATATTTTTACAATGTTGTGGGGGAAAAAAAACCCAACAGAGATGGAAACTACCTGGCAGGTAGAGAAGAGGTCAATTGGAAATACCTGCTTGGATCCCTCAAGGATAACTAATCTAGGAAGAAACTTCTACAAAGGCCTCCATTGACTTCCAAGTTCACTACCAATCTGCTCATGAACCCAAAACCTCACTTGTGATCTCTAACCTGCAGATAGATGCAAGGTACTTTGCACCCAAGGACTAAGATGGATGTTTGCCATGAGCAAATACTGCAGATCACACCGAAGTCAGCCAAGTGAGTGTTGCAAGTGCCTTCTAAAACTTTGCTGTCTTCAGATGACCTATGGCCATAGCTTTATGAGTTTTCCCCAGCCCAGACTTTGGGGAGAAACTACTCAGAACATGGGCCAAATATAAAGGGTATGAATGGCAGCTTTCTAATAATATTTCACTATTATTATTATTATTTTTTCTTACTGTTCTTCCAGGGTCCAAAGAGCTCTGCATAGCAATAGCAACAACATGTATATTTATATACTACTTCACAGTGCTTTACAGCACTCTCTGGATTGCTTGCAATGTCAGCATATCTCGCCCCTAACAATCTGGATCCTC